CTGACCCCTGCTCTGACCCCACACTGCTGGTTGCTATTCCCAGGCCGCCGGGCGCCCACTTCTCCCACGCAGAGAGGACATCGGAGTGGGGCTCGGGGCAGAAGTGATGCCTGCTCCCGGGCAATTTCTGCTGCCTTCTCGGAGCGTCCTGGGCTTACCTTGCAGGTCTTGTGCAGGTTAAAAAACCCACTGAAGTTCCTTTCAGAAACCGCAGTGAAGGTGTCTCGAACCATAACTGATCAGAGAGGGAGGGCGAGTCAGCGCTGACAGTAGCTTTTCACTCCGCGTGGACCGGAACACGCATGCGTGAACCTGGTCAGAACCCGGGGTTGCCTCTCTGCCTCCCGCTCAGCCGCGCCGCTCCCCGAACCCCTGGGGCGCTCGGCGCAAACTTCCTCCTTCCAGCTGCAGCTCACTGTCCACCTACGTTTCCAGGTCTTCCCTTGTAAATCACAAACATGAACACTAAAATGAAACCTGCGCTTCAGGCTCACATTTATCAGTAGGACCTGTGCGCCCACGTTCTTAGTTTGAACGTGAATCCCAAGAGCTCGTTGGTATTTAAAGGAAGCTCACTGGCATCGTGTTATTTTCTGAAGTCAGCGTCTACGCAGCTCTCTTCCGGGACGTTGCTATGGCGTCTCCCAGAGTCATTCTGCCCCTCGCCTCTTACTGCTCTCTGAAAAGCGGGGTCCGCACACAGATTTTTAACTTTGTTGTGGGTCTGGCGGCGCCAAGTTCCGCAACCCCTCTGGGGGGAAGGTGGGCGTGGAACTGAGGGCCCAGCCTCCTTACTCTGCAGCCCCGAGGTAAAGGCACAGGACTCACCTGGGCATAGGCGTGGGGAGCCGCCCTGACCCGCCCTCCAGGAGCCCGGAGGTGGAGGTCTGTGGAGGAGGCCAGCAGGGGACCTGAGGGGAGATCCACTGGGCTCCCATCCAGGGGGCCACACACTTCAAGGAGGGGTGAGCAGAGGGCAAGACGCGGGTCTCTCCTGGGGCTTGGACCCTGCCCTGGCCACAGCGACGCCCCGCACTAGCAGGGCCCAGGGCACTGACACCCTTGAGGCACAGTGGCCTGGAGCAGGAGACACCCGATCTGCTCCCGAGGTGTCTGGACACAGCTCAGGGCGCCTCAGCACTTCCTGTGTGATGGGAGCGCCCCGTGGTCCGTGGGTGGCTAGGAGGAGGCTGGTTGCCAGATGGACGGGGTCAGAAGCAGGGGCAGAAAGCTGGGCTGGAGCTGTCACTGAACCCTCCCCACTGCAGCCTCCCGGAAACCCAGGTGTCCACATTCACAGGGAACACGTGCTCCGGGAGGAGGGTGCAGCCCCACTCCACAGCGACAGGCGCCGGATCCCTTATTACACCAGGCTACGTCCCTGTGACATGCCAGGACACGTCACTGACACCGCAGGACACATCCCTGCAGCATGTCCCTAGGCGGGGAATAGAAACCTGAGCACAGGGTGGCGGCCCCGATTATAGATGGTCACTCAGGACTTGGGTGGACCTGCAGCCTCGGGACAGTCTTGGGGACCGAGCCCTCGCCTCAGCAGAGTGCGCCATCCCCCAGTACTGTCAAACTGTGACCTGTGGGCCCAGGCTGGCATCCGGGCATCAGAGAACAGGTTTCCGGGTCACAAATGCCCGGGGGAGGGCTCTGAAGTCCGGCTACCTTTGCTCTCTCTTCCTTGCCCCAGCAATAGATGCCACCATACAGATCCACCTCACCAGTGACCTCGTGCAGCAGCTCCACCGCTGGTTCCTCCAGGGCCTGCAGCTGGCTTTTCATGAGTGTCTCAAACGTCCTGTAGTTCACGAACCCAGGCAGCTCTCTGCCACAATGCTGGCTTTCGAATTGCCAGACTTTACTTTTTAAACCATCATAACCTGCAGCAGGAAAGGGTAGCTTTGCAGTATTTTACAAAAACAAAGTTCTAATAATCCCATAAATCCCAATTATCAAGCCCCAATCAAAAATAAATCTTGATTTTCAAATGGGCCACTACCCCAGAACTGCAGTAAAGAAACCAGCATGAGGAGGATTCAGCTCCATGAGCCTGGCTGGGCGTATAGAGCCAGTGAGCCAGGCACAGAGCAAGAGCAGAGCTCAGGTGCATGGATCCTGGGGAAGCACTGGGGTCCGGGTTTGAGCAACCCCAGGAGATTTTACCAAAGACAATGGGTCAGGGCAGCACATGCTCCTCACCTGAGCCAGGGGCCCGTAGGACGCAGCATGACCCTGAGCACTGCTGGGGCCCTGCAGGTCGCCTGCTCCAGCTGTGAGGAGCAGGAAGTGGCCCTCCTCACAGGGACACATGGGGAGCGGGCACCCTGGACAGTGCCAGGGGCTGTGAAGACCCCATGAGGGATGCAGAAGGGCCCTGCCTCCTGCCCTCGGAGGGGTGGTCTGGCTCCCCTTAGGATGGGAGAGATTCCCCATGGGAATTTCACTGCCTCCTCCAGGGGGCGATCTGTGGTTTCTGGGGTGTCTGCCAAGCTGAGCGACTCCCCACTGATGCGGGGACGGGCCCGGCCCCCACCCCCATGTCCCGCCCTGTCCCCTGGCTCCAGCCCTGTACCCCGTCCTCTGCTTCCTCTCTGCATGGCGACCCATGTGGACATTCCTCAGGAAAGGAAGCTCATCACAGCGCCTCTGTCCCCAGCTGCTTTCAATCCGCACCAGGTTTTCAAGATTTAGCCACATTCAGCGTGTCAGTGCCTCTGGGTTTCTGTGGCTGAATGTGTCACACTGACAGGGTTACAGGCTCTAGTGTGTGCCCCAAACTCCTGTGCTGGGGTCCTAACCCACTACCTGCAAGGGTCACTGTGTCACACAGACAGGGACTCTAAGTGGGAAGCAGTAGAAATGAGGTCGTTATCCACTATCACCACTGCTGTTCAATATAGCTCTGGAAACATCAGCCACAGCAATTAGACAAGAGAAAGAAATGAA